ATATATATATATATATATATATATATATATATATATATAATATAGGCTTAAGGCTCGTATCACACTATTTGAGATTGGGATTGAATTGAAATTTGACCAATCAGAGCAAGTTTAACTGGGCTCTTCCGTTGGAACTATTCAGTCGCATCGTTATTAGCCCTAATCTACAATAGATGCTTTAAGCACTAAGCATTAAGAAATTGACCAATCACAATCGGATTACAGAAAGAAAATCAATCGTGATTGGTCAATTACTTAAGGCTTGAAAGTCTATTGTAAACTTAGCTTAAAGTGGGGTCTACAATGAGAATTTAAAATCGTTAAAAGTTACAGAACCGAACTACAGGAATTTTAAATTGGAAAATTTTTATTTTCTACATTAAAGAAAAAGTTTCACAATCAATCAACTCAGGGAGCCATGTATATTACAAATTGAACCATTCAATGATTACGTCTTATAAAATTTTAATATTTCTTAATCCTCCCCTTTTCTCCTTCGTCACATTTCATCACAAACATTTGAACCCCTTTCCAATATTATGTTACATATGGAATTACTCCCTCGTCACTATATTACATTATTAGATATCTCTATATTATTAAATTTTTTTAAATTCAGGCTGAAAATAAACATGAAAATTTAATATGATATTTCATAGCCTTTGCTTCCCCCTCTGCCATCATCAAAGCCATCGTAGAAATTAATGGTCACGTTCAGCAGAATGTTTAATTTGCAACTGTTGGCAGTTTTCTGAGCTGAGATTGGATTATTCTTTTAGATCTACAGGAATAATCCAATGTCAGCACAGGAAACTTCCAACAGTTGCAAACTAAATGTTCTGTTGAACGTGGCCAATGTTCCCTTTCCTGTAGTATTACACGAATTATTAAATGATCCCCCCCCCCCATATTTATTTGAATAAAGTATTCACTTTTTTACATGCCTATTCTTTGATTTGTATAAATTACTACATATTAAATCTCGCTTATCTTCTGCGATATCTCTGCTACTGTCTTGAACCTTTGCACTTGACAGAACTGTTTCTTCCACAATATTTTCATCTTGCAGCTCCAATGCTGCATCTTTCAGCCCTTCCAGTTTGTCTTCTTTTAGTAAACAAATATTGTGTAGCACACAACACGCTAATATATGACAAGATATATAATCCATCTGAGTTATTCCCAAAACACGCTGAAGACTTTTCCAACGACATCTTAGATGAGCAAATGCTTTCTTGATTACCATTCTACTGGCAAAATGGCAAGAATTGTAATTCTTCTCACATTCCGTGAGCTGTCCATCATTAAGATATGGAGTCAAGAGACGTTGATGTAGTTTGTAACCTGTATCTCCGATTAAATGCGTATTATTTGGAAACTTCTCCGTGTCATTGATATATTCTTGAAGAGGAGATAAAGAAAAAGCACTTTCGTCACATATAGAGCCCATATTTCCAACATAAATATTTGTGAAGCATCCCACATGATCACAAACAGCCTGCACAGAATGTGATATATAATTATGTTAATTATTTATAAGTGCTGTTCTTCAATAAGTATGTATTAAGATTAAGTAAAAATTTGCAACAGAAAATTTAACGTATAAACAGTAGCGTTGCTAATGCAACTGAAAAATGCGCACGGCTAGTACAGCCATCTGATGCAGTGTGTTTTCGTGACAAAAACGTTCGTAACGAAAGGATTAGGAAGAGAAACAGTATGTGCACGCACGTAAAATAAACAAAGCTGTGGGGACAATCTGACCTCGCCTTATTGTTAGAGGATTAAAATTACCTGAAGATGAACTGAATGGTAACCTTTCAAATTTACAAAAGCTTCTGGATTTTTCTTAGGTATAGGAATATTAACGTGAGTACCATCTATGATTCCAATGATATCAGGGAGACCACTTATTTGAGAGAAGCCAAGCGTAACGTCTGATACTTTACTTCCTGAAGGCCATACTATATATTTTGGCGAGAGTGTACATATCGCTTTGCTTACACGACGCACAGTTCTTATAGCTGTAGCTTGACCTACGTTGAATCGTTGATTTAACGAACTGAAAAAGAAAATATTGTTATATAGATATATCAGAGTTTAATATTATTTACAGATGATTGTGATAAAACTACTTATTATACTTGCCTGTATGGATCTGGAGTTGCAAAACGCCACAGGGTTAGCAGAAGTTGCTTATCCGCAGGTACCATGTCATTTCCATGCCTGCTGCGAATTAGTTTTTCTCCAATCTCATGCAAAAGAAACTCAAACGTCGAAGGTTTCATTCTAAGTTGTAAAGCAAACAAAAATTAAATGTAAAGAATTATGAACTTGAAACATTCAGATCTACAAGTATACGTTAATATAGATATATATGTCATTTAGTAATGCATACCGAAAGTTATATTGGAATTCTACACTGCTCAGCGATGGTACTATGTGTTCGACATAATCGTCAATCTGAGGAATCCGTCGGCTATGATTTTCTATTGCGGAAGTAGTATTTATTTGCTCTACCAGTAATTCTAAAATGCCTTCGTCTTCGTCTTCATAAATATAAGAAAGTGGTTCTAAGAAGGATTTCACGATAGAACTCAAAACAATCTTCATTTGGTCCATTTTTACATAAATATCTGTTATTTATCAATAACGAATTTATCGCGTTTATTTGTATTTCATCACTATATGTTGAGTTAATAAGTTATGTTAAACTTTTTGAGTACGCTCGAAATGTTGGAAAACATTAGCCGCGTTCGGCGGAACGTGTAGTTTGCAACTGTTGAAAGTTTCCTGTGCTGACACTGGATTATTCCTGTAGATCTAAAAGAATAATCCAATCTCAGCTGAGAAAACTTCCAATAGTTGCAAATTAACGTTCTGTTGAACGTGGCCATTGGATGTCTTCCAACAAAAAACGACACAGACGACACACAGACTGCGTTCAGTAGAGAAAGTAACTTTGCAACCGTCATAAAATTCGTGATTCTAATTGGCGTATGCTCTTAAGCTGGTATTCATAGTCGGATCTTACATATAAAACCGTCTTAAATTCATCTTCAGGGCACTGTTCGAGAACGTTGCTCTGGTATAAATTTGCCGAAAAGAAGTGGGGGTATAGTGCTACGCTCAAATATATCCGAGAAATGCCGAAGTTACACGAAGTGCTAATACTCCACCCTTACCACTAAACTCAACTACCCCTCATAAAAGGCTCCGTAGATCTTATTATATGTAATTATACGTAATTTGATATAATTACATATAATTAGATACAAATTTTTTCTGGAATATCTTTAGTAAAATTTGCTTCCATGTGTTTTTTCTTGTACAGTAAATAACAGTTTTGCTCAGTAATAATTTTTTACAAGTTATTTCTTCTGTGTTTTTTGTAAGTAGTACAATTGTTACATGTAAAATTGTTCAATAGAATATTTGCCGGCACAATTATTGATGAATAAGGGAGAGGTTTCTCCAGATAATATTTTTAGTATAATTTCTTGGCTGGCTCGTTTTCTTGTATTTTTTATAATAACAGTTTCTCCCAGTAATAATTTGTATAGTTATTTTAAAATACTTTGTTTTGTTTCCTTCAGTAGAATATTTACGGATTACAATTGTACTGACTAAGGTTGTTTCAATAATAATTTTTTTGGTACAATTTTACAAATGGTTTCTTTGTGTTATATTCTTTCGTAAAAAACGAAACAACGGTGACTCGTGTGCACTTGGTTCCTTTTTCCCACCTTCTTTTTTTTAAAAAGGTGATTGTGTTTTTTAGATATCTCTTACATCGTTTCGCTAGCTCTATATTGGCCGCACACACATATTTTGTAGGTACAATTAATTATATTTTATATGCTAATTTAATAAAACGCGTTAATATCACAGTGCCGCGGCATTCAACACGTTTAAAATCGGCGACGTCAATACCAACGCCCAGGTGGAAAAAATTTCTACAAAATCTCTCAGAGACGTCTGAAATATATCTGAGAAAAAAAAAATAGAACGCCTTTTAGACGTCCTTATCCACCGTCAGTAACCCTCCAAGATCCCCGCGAACAACGTACTCTTTCCTCCGAAAACCGCGAGATGGCAGGACACTTCTCTTCGTTCGTGCCACTCTCTGGATCTTTTTTGCTTCTTTCCGCCGCTCGACGGGGGTCTGGACCGAAAGTGGTCCTGATCTCTCGGGATGCTGGAGCAGCATAAACGCGGCAACTGTGTTAGCGGTAATTGACAGCTGCCGAAAAGCAGCCGCGCAGGCTGCGAATCGCGACGACGCCGAGAGCGGCGCGCGTGCGCACGCGATCCGGGGAGCGATCGAGCGAGCGATCGAACGAACGAGCGGCGTGATCGTGAGGGGAGAGAAAAATCACGACGCGTAAGCGACGTTTCGAACTCGGAAGTGATATTCTCTCGGTCCGTTCCTTCGTCCGACCGACCGACCGTCCGTCCGCGCTCCTCAGGGACGTTCGGTGGCCATACTCGGTTCGACGGGAGCACGAGATTCGCCGAGATTGCCGTGCCGTGCGACAGAGAGGCTCCTCTTTAAAGACCCGAGCGTGTGTTTACAGTTCCGCGTGGCCACTCTTTGCTATCTCTCGCGTGCCGACGCGCCACGTTCAGTTCAAGAGGAAGAGAGACAGAGAGATAGAGGAGGGGAGGGGGGAGGCCTATCCCTTTGAACCGCTCTTTCTCGTATTTTTAATTTTGACGAATAGACAAGTGCGCCTGCCTCGTACAGGGAGGGAAGAGAGAGAGAGAGAGAGAGAGAGTCTCTGCACCGTGATAAGAGAGACTAGTGTTGAATCTTCGGATTGCGCCTCGCGGAGTGCCTCGAAATTGATGGAAAGTTAACACTCGATAATTGTTTATCGAAGAATAAAATGTAGCGCCGTAGTGTCACTTGTGATCTGCATTACAAGAGGAATAAAATGTAAAGGCCGCCGCCAATTATGTTACGGACAGCTAAAGTAAATAACGGAACATCGGCCGTCATGTGTCCGTTTGAAATGGGCTTTACGCTTTAGCAGTTTTCATCGGTTTACGCGGTATTTGGGAGATCGGTTGAACCAAGAAGACCTGAGAGAAACGCGACGTTTCTATATTGCGGAATTTCCAGGATACGGCAGGTTGCGGGGAAATCATTCTTTTCCCGGATCTTGTTCGTACGAATGGTATCGCGATATTGTTATCGATATGTCGACGTTGATCCTCTTCGAGATCGCTCGAGTTCTTGACTAAAATCTCATCGTCGAATATGATGTGTCGCGGTAGTAGACGACACGGCTGAGGAGAACACCTGTTGTTCAGGATGGCAGCGGGACGATGTGAGTGAGACGAAGATTCATCTGGGAAAAGCTCTCGATCTTGCGAGAGCGCAATTTGCGCTTTTCTCGACTACCCAGATATGCGGACGGTGCAGCGATGTTCGTGCGCTCTTCTTTCTTGAAGTCTTGAACCACTTTCGGTAAGTTTCGTCCGGCATGTTTCCGCGATTATTAAGCCCGTATCAGATCGGGAATCTTGTTTTGAGTTCGCATAGCGAGCTCTCTCTAATTCCAAGTTTTCTCATATATCGAGAAAAAAGTGTTTGGTATTTGTAACTATAATATCGAAAGGATTATAGTCGGGAGAACCATTTCTTTAGTCAATGTTACTATATTGTCAATGGTAATAATATTATATGTGCATTATTCTACTACTTTCTCATTAAAACAATAAGAAGATATAAATGATGGCGAATGACTATAAATTTAGTTTAAATTGAACATTCTTTTTCTCAGTATATGACGTCATATACAATGTTGTTTCAGCTTGAGGATCAGAAAGGCATATTTAGCATGCTCTGTGCACAAAATACAATTCCAGGTTTTGGAGGTTGAAAAGGGTAGTTATAGAAATTATAATTCGACGAATCAGCTAACTTCGATTGTAGGCCGTTTTACTCGATCGGTCAGCTTGCGATCTTCATTCTAACTGATAACCAATCTGACACAGATTTTACGTTTTTACGTTTTATACATTGAAAATAAGTGTTTAGTATTTACGACTATAACCACATAGTGGAAGAATTACAATCGGATAATAATAAGAACCATTTTTATAGTAAGCATTACTATAATGTTAAAGCGATAATAATGAATATATTGATATCTAGAAAAAAGTGTTTGGTATTTGTAACTATAATATCGAAAGGATTATAGTCGGGAGAACCAGAATTAGAACAACAAGAAGATATAGTTATTGTAAAAAATAACTATAATTTCTTACAAGACGACCATTTTCTCTCTCAATGCTCTTAACTTCTGTATAATCTTTGAAATTGTAGAAAAGATCACACGCGTGCCTTTCGTCGGTTTCGTTTACTAGCGATCCTCAAAAAATAACCTAATGCATTAATGTCGATTTCTCCAATGTTGATCGATTTGGTCACAGTTCGAACATCCTCTCTTTCTCCCGTTCTCCTCCTCTTGCGCAGCAACAAGTGTGGAATAAGATGAAGGGACAGTTAAACTGCTGTTAAAATTAACTGCAAGAATTGAACCGTCGATTTACACCGAAAGGGTCGAAAGACCTACATCAGAGCGTCACGTGTCATCTGTAAAATCTGGCGATTGTGAAAATCGTCAATGCTGTTGGTAGATTTGTGCCAGTTGTTGCGCGACGTTCATGATGAAGCGAGAAAAAAAAACAGAGGGGAAGGAAAACGGCAAAAGCTGGAAGGAGAATGAGCGAGCGAAGGAGCGAGAGAGAAGTATGTAAATTTCGTCTTGTTAGAGAAACAAGGTGCGTTGATTCCCGCGAGAGACGTCGCTGATAGGAGGGATAGAGAGAGAAAAGAGACGAGGAGGGAAGCACGAGAGGAGTAAGAAAGGAGCGCTGTAGGGAGGCAAACGGATGGCCGAGACGTGAATGGTGGATATCGTCGTGAAGTGCGCAGAGGGAGGAGGAAACAGTGTGCGAGAGCGAGCGAGCGAGCGAGCGAGAGAGAGAGAGAGAGAGAGAGAGAGAGAGAGAGAACCGGGTACACAAGGTATAGGTATAGGTTTTAGTTTGGACAGTCCTTGGAATGCGGCGGTCGCGGAACGGACGACCGTGTGCACTCTGTACACAATAAATATGTATATATATATATATATATATATATATATATATAGTGGAACTTTTTTACATATTTTATATATATACTCAGTAATGTTCAAAAAAGTTCCACTTGATAATATAATGCGAAGCGGTTTTTTTTACACTCGTTGCCCGTTTATCTGATCTGCTAGGTTATCGTAATTGGACAAATTCAGAATTTCTCTCTTTCTCTCTCTGCATTATAAAAATGTTTTCCTCTCATATTTCTATTGAACGTATCTTAAATTCCATATGCTGTGTCATAATCAACATGCGTGCCACAAGCATATGAGCGAGAGATAACACAGGCCTTACGGCCTAATGTAAAAATAAGAAGAAGAAAAATTTTAAATTCAATATCTTAACCAATATTTTAAACGTATGAAAGCAATTTAGCGCCTTTCAAGAAAATTAAACAATGTAGATAACAGAATGATTACGATAATGACATATTGCATGGATGGAGTGAATTTTCCTATTGGATACAAGCACGATATATGAATGTGCACGAATTGTTGTTGCATGCTTGATATTTTTGTATATCTTTATTTTTGCTCATCTTTCGGGAAATCAAAATCGTGTTTCACGATAAGCTTTAAGTTTCTCCATTCATACATTTCTACATTCTATATTTTCCTCTCTCATTAAATTACGTTCGTAATCGCAATCACCGCATCGCAATAAACCGCATCACGACTATCCATATATAATTATTTTATAAGATTTCTCGATATTTTTCTAATTTATAAATTACGAAACAAGTTTTTCGGCTTTCCACTTTCTCCTTTTTGCGCCTTTGGATTTGCGATTCTCTCTCTCTCTCTTTTGCGCGGTTTTTCGTGAATATTTATTCGTAAATATCGGATGTCACATTAATATAAAAATACACGTTGTCCTTATATAGTCGATTTTAACTTGCCATTTCGCTACCGCATGAATCAAGTTCGAATAATTGTTTTCTTCGGCGTGATAATATCTCGATCGTTAACTATCCCCGCAATTATCCGACCGGCTCGTTAATGACCTTCGCGCTCGAGAAAGTTTCGCATAATTACTTTCTTTCATAGATTATTCTTGATTAGAGCTAGTCGGATTTCTCATGCGAAGTACGAGCACAATCTCGGCATTATCCTCGAGCGCGGCGTATTTGTACAACATTTCCTTTCATTCGTTGGATCCGAAGTGCCTGCCTTCCTTTTTCCCTTTTTTCTCCCCTCGCAACGATGAATGAGCGTGTTGACTGTTACTCCAAATAACATCGAGTGACTGTCGTGTCCGCGACGTGTTGCTCCGCATAGCCGCGTGAACAATGTTATTATGGTCTTCCGGATCTCGCTTTAACACTTCAGGGAAATCGTGCGACGCTGAACGTACGTAAAAGTTAGCCTATCAAAATGTAAATAAACATCCGATGATTTGCAGATTTTACAGCGATTCTCTGGAGACACCATGAACCTGGAGCGGCCTACGATGGATGGGCAACAGCCGCTCTTCCTAGGTAGCATTTCCAGCTGGGGTGGTATCTCCAACCCTCAACAGGCAACTGTGCAGACCGGCGCACCGTCCGAGCACTACGGCAGGCCGCTGAGTCTGAATATTTGCATATCTGATTCGGGTCACGAGATACTACGTCCGAAGCCACGACGGTGAGTGCACTTTATTTCATCCCTTCGGAATCCTCCTGTCCACCCCGATGATCGATAAGCGATATCTTATCACACGTTGCCGTACGCGCAAGATGCGTTTCACCTGCCTTTGAAAATCATATTTCGTAAATAATACGTAAATATATCATGACCCGAATTTTTACAATTCTTGCAACATAGGAGTCGATATATAATAATAAAATCTAAAAGCAACAATATAATCATTTTCATCCGGAATCATGAAAAGTTCAAATTAATTAGTCGAAGCGTCGAAGCACGGGATGGGACTGAGTAAAAGTCTTACAAGCTTGTGCATAACGAACTGTTCATCTTTCTTTCTCATTGATTGAACGTAAACACGGCACGGGTAGTCGCCTCGCATCTCACTTTACTCGATACTCGATCGATTCGGTCCATCCACGTGTTTTCCAGTTTCTCGTGCAACGTCGCGCGGCAGTGAATTAGGATGAAATAGAAATCAGTCTGGGCATCCGTTATATGACGGCGAGCGCGCCGCGATCGTGCGAAAAGAGAGCTCGCTTTTTAATTAGCCGGCATCCGAAAGTCGGGAATCGCGAGAAAATGTTATCTGGGAAGAGCTCGGCTCGCGATAATAATGCGCAGCGCGTGAGAGGAAACGCCGATGCGCCGTCTCTCTCTACGCCGAATCGGATATTTAGGTTAATGGTCTTTCCTCGCCTTCCTCCTTTCTTCTGTTGCATACATAGCTAACAATCTTAAACTAGCTTTTACTACTGCCGTCTGTCGTCGGCTGAGGTCAGGGACGAGTCGCATTTATTATCTTCTTACGTTGGATCGCGCGCGTTCGCTGTACACCTGTCGACTCGAGTCGTATTCGCCGATAATTGAAACGGCGAGTGGAGGAAGAGGAGGGTTTGCGCGAATAAAAACTCAAATATGATTGCGACACGGGGGAAAAATATGAGTCTTCTCGTTTCGATAATACACGAGCGGACGTTCCTTCGCTAATTCTTCGATCAATCGTTTTGTTGTCTGCGACTTTCTTGAAATCAAAGAACAGGAGAAATGCAATGGCGAATATGCCATTTATCCGGTGGTTACTTTGAATCGAATTGGAAATATGTTTATGGCGACACGAAATGACTTATGTCGCAATTTTTCTTATAATAGGATAGAAAACCTTGTTGAGAAACAAGAGAAAAATGGCCGAAAGCAAAGAAGCATAAAATTGGGCAGCAAATGAAGCTTTCAGCTGTCCCTCTTCGCGATCGCGCCATCCAATATCGTCTCCTATGTTTGTCAACACAAGATCCATATTTGAAAGAGCAAAGCGCCCTCTCTCAAACGAACCTTCACCCCTCGGCACCCACGCATTGCAAACTGGTCCCAAGCGCGCAGGGATTCTCAGAACTTTTCGGATAACTCGACATATACCATTGCAGAAGGCCAATGGGATGTACGGAACAAATCAAAACGAATCTCACGATTTTCAAGAACTTCCCCTAATCTTGCGATTCGCTCTCATTCGCGAGAAGACCGTTAGGGTGAAATTACACGGTGCGTAATAGAACTGCGGAATAGAGAGTGCGTCATAGAAGCAACCAATCAGCGCATAAAACTTGCGTGATAGAAAAGAGCGGAGTGGCGCTGATTGGTCGCTTCTATGACGCATTCTCTATTCTATTGTTCTATTACGCACCGTGTAATTTCACCCTTATAACCGCGACACGAATTCCTCCTCCTCTTCTATATCAGTTTATTATTAGCTACGTCCCGCGAGTCAAAAGTCGGCAGATTATTAAAACTCTCCCGAACATATTATTACATTTCGATGTTNATATATATATATATATATCTGAATGTACACACAGTGTACGTATCTCATGAGCGAGTAATTAACCGCACGGACATAGCGCGATGTTTAACCTTCGCGTATGCCATGCATGAGGTGTACATCGTCGGAGCGTAACGTCGTTCGCGAGTCTCGCTCATCGCGTTTTCGTTCGCATGCGTCATCCTCTCGCGCGACTCTTTTTCGTCTCTTCACAACTGAATTCATCGGGACAAATTAACGGGTGTCCAACTTCTATTCAGCGCGTCCGCGCGCGAATCGAAAACGCATGAAAAACGGAGGCAGAACGCGGCGGTTTGTAGAACCGACGTCGGAACTCGCTCATTCGCTCGTTCGCCGGTCGGCTGGTACTCTACGTGCGCCACTTTCGCGTGGGGAAAAACGTTTATGGAAAATTATACAGCGCTCGCACCCGGCACGCACATTCCAAGGGAGTGTAATTCGCCTTCTTTCGCCATCGGATGATGGCCGGGCGACGTCGCGATGAACGTTTCACCTCGAATGTTCTCCTGAACGCGAAAATGAAGAGGGGAGAGAAAGAAAGAGAGAGAGAGAGAGAGAGAGAGAGAAGGAGAATGGTTTATTAAAGTCCTAGAGCATGTCCTCCGAGGACAAAAAATAAGCCTATAACATCGATGAGCTTACATTATAAAAAAATATAACTGAAAAAAAAAAAGAAAAAAGTAATACAAAAGTCTTTGAAGTTGAAATTTGTTAACAAGAAGGGACAGATTTGATATTTATATAGTGGATAAATAAAAAAGTGCTAAACACATAATAAGATACAGTAAGCAGATTAAAGATTGCAACACTTTTTTTTCGCAACGCATCTCGTATTCGATAAGTCTCTCCTGAAAATTGCTAAAAATCGAATTCTCCTTTCATTATTTTAAGGACAATTTCGACTTGTTTAATGAAATTGTATAGTTTTAATATAAATCAATTCTTCAAGTTATTCCTGTGTATGAAAGTATTGACATTAAATTATGACAAAATGGATAATTTCCGAGATGACTTATATTAACACTTTGAAGCCTAGTCCTAGGTCTTAAAGATGATTTATTAATGGTATCTTGGACAATTTTGATGTCTATTAAAAAAATTTCATTGTTGATGTATGTTGTTGTAACTTAGCAATCAATATATCAATTTTAAGTGTGAAAAGAGCACTTTAAAAGCAGCAGAAACGTATGGAGTTGTCTGCGCACTACCTCGACTCATACTCGGGCTTAGGACAAAGTATGTTAATACTGATTAATTACTAATTAATATTTTTTTTTAACTTTACATTCTAATACTACATTTTATAATTCAACAGAGCTCAATAATTCATAAATAATAGATGTTAAAAAAAGTAATTGAAATAAAAGATATAAGTGAAGAGAGACAAGATGATAATATTATTAAGATGTTGAAATTATTCTTTCAAGATTATTTCAAAGTCAACTTCGATTTTTTTAAATTAAATTATATATTTTCCCACATAAATATATTCTTTATATCGTTCTGCGTAGAAAAACATTAGGACGAAATCACCGAAAACTGAATACTTTCCGAGATATTTCATCATACCCGCACTTTCGTATATTTCGATCCACTGTGCGTTGTCGCCGCCCTTGACACCGGAGTTTCGCTCTGTGAGCACGGACAATATTCGCTTTGAACTCTTTCTCTTGCGAGTCTGTCTGGAGTGAGGGACATATGTTGCGAGTTTCTTCGGGCCATTCTTTGAATGTTCATTCAGTAAATCCTGTTAGGGGTCAGTGCGAAGGCGAAATTTCCTTCGAAATTCAGCGCTTCTTCGCGCGACTATATTTTCGTGTGAGAATTACTTTTCATAGCGAATTGAAATTGTTCTGTGGAGATTCTCGTTTTAAGAATTCTGTTGTTGTTATTGTTACTATTATTATTATTGTTGTTTTTATTGTTATTATTGTCATGGTGTAATAAATCTTCGTAGCGATACGATTGATTTCGACGGAGCTTATTTTCAACAAGTGATAAGGAATACCGGTTTACCTAGGAAGCGGAGCTACCTACTTTCACTTCATGATTGTTGTATTACTTTTTGTCTAGCTGCTAGCTAACTTTTCTAATGTAGCAATCACTAGGAGAAGTGAGCGTTACATTCCTGGCTGGCGGCTAGCTGGTACTATTAAATAATAGCGATGTGAAACAACTTTTTTATGTTATTACTAGACATTCATTAGGTTCAATTTTTGCCCGGGAAGACGCTCAATTTCAGGGATGGTATTAGCCAAAAATCGTGCGGGGATTTGACGAGCGTTACGTACTGTTCACTATTTAGAGAAGTAATTTGAGTACACAAAATCATTAAGGACTGGTGATAAAATTACTGAGATTACAGTAATTTATTATTGATCAGCCGATAATACTTTTCTGCGAGAGGGAACATATGTTTTTGCGTTTTTCACCGTCACATCATCATCTCGACGATCTGTGTCGCCTTTTCCGGGGGAGATCTACCTGAATCGAGATTCAACCTCCTCCTTCCCTTTACGATTTAAAAACATCATCTGATCATTAATTTTAGTCGCACGCGCACGCTATCTCGAGAAATACCGGGTGATTAGTTTTCCCGTGAACGGCTCGAGAGTTAGCGGCTGTCAAATAATTTATGCGTCATACGTTTTACCATCCGGCCGAAGCGTCGGATTGTGATCGTTCGAAAACCGTCACGGATTTCCTGATCGCCTTGCTCGTTGAGAAAGTCATCGACGTTTTCCCTCCGTTCCTGCGTTTCACGTTCAATTTAACCATGCACTATCATCAATTTCGACATACGGATTGCCTCATAAGAATACGTAATCGCTCGACACCAGGGCACCGAGTGTATGCGGCGAGCCTCTTCGGTTCGCTGATGATAATCCACGCGGAAATAATTCCGCGACGCAATTCCGGTATCTCAGACGCTGTCGCGTAGCTGCCATATAATTCTAATGGCGACGCTTTTAACGCTGACCCACTTCGCTTCCTGTTTTCCGCGTGAGCGTGCCGTGAGTACCCCGCTAGAGCACCTGTACAAGTTAATTACCGCTCGAGAACCCACCTGGGAATCTTCCTCGCGCCTCGTGCTGAAGCGGCACTGTACAACCGGAAGAAATCAACGGAGCGGGGTACTCACGGTCAACCTCCTTCTCCGATAATGTGGACGTATTTCATGATAAGGAAGCTCGCATTGCAGAGCACTCTTACTGAAAAATGTTATTGCCCGGGTAATAAATGACCGGTAATTTTGTCACTAACACCTAATAATTCTGAGTTACCTATAACAATCATTACTACTACAATAATCATTAATCATTTACTAAGCGCCGGGTTCCACCGAACGTAGCCATTAATCCTTTCTTGTCATCAATAAGACATCGAAACGACATGACGACGTCACTTTCGGGCCTTAGAGGGCCTGATTTAGGGTGTCTAATTTTCCCGATAAAAATTGACCGTCGTTTGGACATCGCCACTTGGGATGCGATCCAGCGGACGAAGCTGTCTCGGAATAATTAATTTTCACGATCGATCGACGCGTGCATAGCGAGAAGAAGAGAAAAGAAACGGAAGGAAAGCGACAGCGTATCGAAAACGGACATGCCAGGAAGTCCGTTGCCACGGACCGAGGCTGTGATTTGCCGCGGCCGTAGGAAGTAGGATGGCCGCCGGAAATCCAACCCCGAAACACATGGTGGAGTTACGCTAAAGATACACGTTTATTTGTGCCCTCCCGTTTCTTGCGACTGGTCGCGCGGTGAAAAGAGCGGCATGGTAATTTACGAGCGACGGCGGACACAAATGTCGCACGTCGCGAATCGATCGCGAGCGTTCGCGAGCCGCCAGTGGGCGTGATAATTTCTCGTTTACTATCGCGATAAAACCCTTCGATGCCGGATTATATGCGAACATATCGTTCGCCGCGACTCGTTTCTCGGTGTTTTACAGTCAGCGCGACTCGCATGGCAGTCCTGTTACGGTGTTATCTAATTGCTGCAGCTGGTAATTATACTCGACACCGGCCTCGTTGTCGGCGGCATTAATAGTAACGCGAATACCGATGGTCACCGAACATTATACACTTGCGGTTCTTCGCGGGACTCTCGAGACCCGTGGGGATTCCCCGGTTGGAGGAGGGGACAGAGAGATAGATACCATCGAGCGCGATTTTCACGTTCATTGAAAAGTGCACGGTTTTGTGCTACGGGTGCCGCTCTTTCCCGCGTGATATCATAGTTACGCGTGGCGGAACAAAAGGCAGCGGAGCGAGAAGGAGCGAGGGAGGGGAGACACGCACGGTGAAGGTAGGAAAGTGATACGGATATCTCTTCTTTTCTCCTCGACTCCTTGCTCGCTCGGTGCTCGACGTGAAGGAAGTGTTTCACCTGTGCGGCACGGGAAACAACCTCAGACGCCTCGTCGCCGTCTTCTCAGCCGTGTGTTTACATTGAATGTATAGCGCGCGATGCGCCGTGGACGCGAAAGTGGCGGAGAGTTGAGCGACAACGGCACTGCTTCGCGATCGATTTGTGATGAACGGGCTATGTAAGATCGTGGAATTCTCGCTGGAGAAATCTCTCGTCTGACATCTCCGCCTCTGCTGACGTTTATCTAGAATAATCGAGGAGAAAAACCGGAAGTTCATCCGCGAAGTGATCATTGTGATCGTTGTTGCCCATTAATTGCCCTGCGATTGCAATCCAGCGATCTATAGTGGGGTTGGGGGGGAATGAAGCAGAGTTTCCTTGTCGGCGTGTTCGCGGGAGAAAATGTTTCACGATGAATCAGTGAGGAAAGTTCGCCCGGTGAGTCGTCGACGCGTTATCGCGGCCGGTATCCTGCGCGCGGAAGTGTCGCAGTGAATTGCGATAACTGGCTCGCGAAAAAACGACGGACAGAGGTTGAGAGGGAAGAGGAGGGATATATTCGTCGTGGCTGAAGAGGCGTTCTAGAATGACCCGTCGCGACTGACAACATGCCGTCGACGAGACGAGTGCGGTGCTGCACCGAGGACTGTCGGTGCGTGCTCTGTCGCGAGTTAAAGGGCCTCAGGGAGATGAGCGACGGCGGGGTGGTCGAAGCAGCGCGCGAAGAAGGCGCAAACTTCATCCTGCGCCGAGCCGTGCCCTTCCTGCCAGTGCGAGAGTGCAGACAGGAAGCGAGGCGCGACGATTATTACGAGAGGAGCTCGACTTTGGAGGACAAAAGTCGCGTCCCGGCCGCAGCGGTAACAAAGGACGATCCGGGCCGGGTCACCGGAGAGGCACCATCGTCGAGCACCGGCGACCAAAGGCAGACGGCAAAGGACATCGCTCACAGGACGGTCATCTACTTCGGCGACTCGAATCCCAGACAGAGAGAGGACAAGCCGATCTGGCAGCCACCACCGCCGCCGTCGACCTTGCCGGATGCCTGCGTGCGAATATCGCCGGGTCGCGTTCCTGAGACACGGAACGACAAGCTGGAGTCTCGTCGGGACGAACGGAACAATGACGACGATTGTGATCGTGAGGATGGTGACGCGGCTGTCATACCGGCGAAGGATATGCCCGGTAATGTCGTGCACGAGATCGTGGTGAACGTCAGTCCTAGCAGGGAGGACGTGCTGAGGATAGAGGAGGACGAGAGCCAATTGGAGGACTATTGGTCCTTGCCCGGGGACACCAGCGGTTTCAAGGCAGACTGGAGCTTCGTCCAGCAGTGGAGACTGAGGGGGTAAATTCGCTCGCTCGCTCCTTCGAGTCAATGAAATGATGTCGCGGGTTCTCTTGATAAATCCGGGGGTATAATCAGAAGTGACAATCACTAAGCGCTCCCTAATCCGTTTTCCGTTTTCTGCCGTTCCCAGCCACTCTTTATCGCTCATTGGACGTAAAACAAGGATAGAATGACGCAATAACACGCGAAGACGCAGCCCGATATTGTCGATTTATTTTGGAAAAAAGTTTGCATGACACAAGGCGCTGATAGTCCGACCGGTCAGATCGTAAATACGATCGTAAATACGAACAAATGAACGTTGTTATTTACCTATTACGAGTTACCAACTTTTTTTCACTCATTTATTCGAAATTGAATAAGGAATCGAAATATGTAAAAATTATTGTCGTAACTGATTGAGAAGTACATGTAATTTCTAATTGTTTATAACTTTTATGAATTTGTTTAAACAAATTACATGCTGCGTGAATTCTAAAAATATGTTCTTAAAGGGCTATTTTTCCGACTTACTCATAAAATTTCATAAAGATTCGTTGAGCCAATCAGGAGAAAATAATTTTTTTATAAAATATAGGGAAAAAAATGATATTGTTAATAACTTAAAAAAAAATCGAATTTTCAAAAAAAGAAAAAATACGTGTCTTTTATTTTTAAAAGGTACGTACATTATTTTTTAATATTTCAATCATCGATTTTTAGGTGGCCCGCTTTAAGAATTTTGTCTCATTAGTGATGACTAGTTCAGATACCCGCCCTGTCATGCTAACACAAATGGAGATTATTAATATTTTAATCATTGTGTCGAAGGACAAATTACAGAGCTAAACATTGGTATTGATAATTCTTATTATTACCCATCGATTAATTTAATCATAGTTTGACAAAAGTTACCTGGAATTTTCTCGATTCAACAGCAATATTATTGAAACTAATGCATCATATATTGTTTTGATAATTCAAGTTTAGTCTGTTGAAAATTTGATTAATACAACAGTATTTTCCCTCCGTGTACTATGTACCGCTGCGAGCAATCAGTCGGTCGAAAACAAGTCGCTAGAATTGTCTCTCCGACGATTAATGAGACACTGACCTATACGATAGGACTGCAAGTCCATTGGTCGCGCTGTCGCTCGCTTGCTCCCAGGTAGAGAAACGTACCAAAGCGCGATTCCAAAACGAGTTACTGTTACTAAGAGGTATCGCAGCGGGTGTCACTCCTCCGACCGAGTTGTGGTCGATCTTTCTTTCGGCGAAAATTCGACACGATGTCTCTCTCTCTCTCCTGTTCTTCCATAAATCTCGACCTGTTCAACGTCGATGCTTTTCACCGTCCGATGCTGAGTTGCGAAGTTTAAGCGATTAGAAACGAATAGATTCACGGTGAAGCTAGATTTGAAGTGCAGATCGAACGTAGCCTCGGCGTTATCGCGTAAAGTTCGTTTATTTTTCTCAGTTGCCTTTATAGTTGGAGAAAAAAAGAAATGTTGTAACGTCATTTGTTGCAGACCGAGCGGCGGCAACAGTCGCGAGATATACTGTCCACCTTACACCAAGGACTTCACCGAAAATTCCCCTAAAAGCGGAGTCCACGATATGGTGCATATGATACCGGAAAGGGACACGGACAGCGTGGCACTGACTCCGACGCCACAGCATCCGCGTCATTCGCAACACCATCATCTCAGTTTACACGAGCTCCGTGCACTTCAGGTACACAGAAATATATCTCTCGTTACGAATGCGCAGCCATACATTTCGTGACTGTCTACTAAGTTCAGAATTACCACCACTATATTACAATCATCCGTTTTTTTTCCAAATAGCGAATTGAAGAAAATTATTATATTTTTCAACGCTTTCCGGGCCAGTTTTTATGTAACTTGTTACTCACACCGTGTGATTCAGCAATGAACCACTTTGTTATGTTATTATATCTGTTGAATAACGTGTATCTCTTCAAATTACATTGCAAAAGTTCGTAAGATTGAAAAATGTTTCTCTTAACGAAAACACATTCGATTCGTTCATTGTCACGTTAATTCGGCCAATCTTTTTTCAAACACTCGACCCGATTGCTCACTTTTGCAGAGGCGGCCAGAATGTACTGGCAACAGCTCTTCCGATGAGAATCGATCGTCCGGACATGCGAGCATGTCAGACACCGGTGGCCACACGAGCAGCAGCTCACCGCCGCATCGCCACCACAGATCCAACAGTCCCCAGCAGCTGAACGCTGTGCCCGAGGACGACCGACTGTCGGCGTCGGTCACCCAGAGAAACGGCAAAAGCCGATCCGGCCAGAGTCGCAACCGGCATCGAGCCACTCCTGCCAAGGTGCTCACTTTTTCATGTTATCCATCGGAAAGTTAGAGCTGTCTTCACAAGTATTAATTAACGTCAAAGTGATTGTTCCTAGGTTTTACAGGATCAGAGGAGCTATTACGGTTCTGTTTACTAGGATATTTCATTGCTTAACATCTAATGAATTTGTTCACTTTTGTCATTTTCACCTCGTCTTGGGAACCGTAATAACCCCACTGAATCAGAGTTATTACAAGGTCGATGACGCACTTTTCATAAGCGTCGATAATATAGTAGGCAAATTTCAAAATGTTACGTTACATAAACATAACTACTGACACAATCATGTTGGGTTTTTTGTATTATTTTGGTAGAGGAATTTTTGGTTTATCTCAATCCGTCTGCTACGCTCTCACGAAGTTTGTTGTTAAATATGCTTCCGCAGCGAAAAGGTTAAACATATCGATAATGTTTTACCTTAACGCCTCCATCTGATCACAGCTGCAAGTGCCATGGTCGGGCTCCGGTCTGGAAGACATAAAGCTGGCGATTCAGCAACTGACGATGCGCTCCCACAAATCCTCGTCGACGTATTCTTCGCTGAGCGGCTCGGAGAGCTCGGAGCCAGCGGTGAGGAGGCTGATGCGACACTCCAGCCTGGAGACGATCAACACCAACGTGACCAGCGCCGACGAGTTCGTTTGGGTGGATTCTCACAATCGTCTGGTCGAACTGCAGCAGCTACCCTGGACTCACCACGACGTGCTGCGCGTACTGCAGAACGGCCGCACGAGAGAGCACATGGAGCAGGTCTCGATGGAGACAATCCCGCGGCTCTCTTATCTGCTGCAGCGTGCGCTAGTCCGAGTCAGCCGCGAGACGCAGCGACTGGCGAAGCTCGTGGGCCTCTGCAGCAAGCACGAGGTGTACAGCGCCTTTAAGATCGTGCTTTGTCCGGCGCTGGCGGATTCTTGCACCAAGGTATCGTATTACCGCTTCGGTAAATCGATGCGGCTTGTAACGGCAAAGTGACGAAATAATTCAGATGTCTTTTCCCGTGGAATAAACATATGTTCTATTCGCCGGCATATTTCTACATATCTCGGAAATGCTCTGTTGTATATTGACTTTGTTCAGTGTTTAATAGGAAAAGTGCTGAATATAAAAAAATTCGAGATATACGACAGGTTCATCTAGTCACTTGAATATCGTGTTGTTTTCTACACCGTTTCAATAACCAATCGACTCGTGTTTCCGATTACGGAGAGAATACATCACAGCTTTCTTCGTGTAAAGTTCCATTCAATTTCACCGTATTCTCCAACAGCGCAGAAATCGACTCTCAGTGTAGTTTATTTGGCTAAAGAATATAAATAATTTTTTCAATGGTAGTCTAAAATATAAATAGAACGTATACAAAATTCCGGGAAAGTCTCCGCGAGCGGGATCTCCGCAGGTGTCTTAATGCTCACAACCAGTGGCCATCATCTGATAATCCGACTTATTTAAAGGCTTGCCTGCGAGCTGCCGCAATGTTTGCCGTATCTGGCGATCAGCTGAAACAATCGAAGGCATCCCGTTCGGGGTTGCAATTGCCGGTCGGACGTTTTTTACGTTGGATGTCCGACGTGAGACTCGGAAGGATGATACACGAGTACGCGGCGATATATCTGACGGCCGGGATCGAGAATCTCCTGGAGGAGATACTGCTGCAATGTGTACCGGCCGAGCCGCATACGATCCTTACGGCGACGATGCTGGAGCACGCTATAGCCAACAGCGGCGACTTATGGGGCCTGTTGCAGCCATACGCGCATCTCAATGCCGGCCGAACCGCATCAGGTCCATATTATATCTCCTAATCTCTTATATCAATGAAGAAAGATGCACAATGCAGATGCACCCTGTCGCCCAACCATCGATTGTTGTCCCCCCCCTCAATTTACACGTCCCGATCGAAACTTATTCAATTAATGGACATACATTATCCCGAAAAATCCCAAATTTCCAAGTTCAGAAATTGAGACAAATATTTCGGCAAAATTGCATTTCAAGACATTGCCTCGGTGAGTGGATTTGGTTTTCGGTATTACGGCTCTTCGAGAGAAATTTATTCCACTTTTTACATTTTAGTATATTTTTTTCTGGACAATGCGTTTAGTGTATTACGTAAAGATTAGTGACAAGGATATCATCATAGCTGTTGGACTCGCTCCCTGCCGTCCAATCATCGAATTCAAGCGACGTCGACCACGTACCGAAGTGGGGGGTGAACGGCTGGTGGGCCGCCGTTCGAGATCGAATCCACACAGGGACACGAATATTATGTATGAAATTTGAAACAACTTTCGCGGTTATCGGTCAAAAAAATTGCTTAAATTAAGATGAGAATTTCATTTTTTTTTGTTTATATTAGTGGTAGGTGTATATTAGTTAGTATCAGTGTTTGCTTTACAAGGAAACCTCATGAATTGGGGCACGCAGATCTGAACCGAACTTTAACAGAGTGTAGGGCGGGGGCCACAGATACACAAATATAAAATCTTAGGTGTAGATGATCAACTGTTTAAAAGTTATTAACGAAAAAAGGTTTCAGCGTCTCATGTATGCCGATGTAACAAGACCGAATCTCGAAACGGCATGTGGCAGCGTGGTAGGATAACTGCTTGCAAAGTCGTAGATTAAACCGTAATTACAGAATATCGTTTGTAGCAAAATTATGTTGATTTAAACCAGATGAAACAAATTAATGTTACATCATTTTATTTAAAAATAATACCAATTTAATTTTTGGATTTTCTCATCTTATAATGTGTGTCTCTTCGTGGTTTCGTTTCCTGAAATTGTCACTCATCCATGTCCTAATCGTGGTCAACGTTGCTTTTTTACCTTAACGATTGAACATTTTTACCTAAACTTCCGGTGTGCCCTGATAATATCTTGAGGGACTATGCTTTTAATATTCTCTTATATTTAAAAAATATTGTAATGGTATAATGTTGACAAATGTTGGAAACGCAAGAACAATTGACATTGACACAATTGCCACGGAAATTAATGTATATTAGCGAGCCAATGATATCATTATTGTTTTCGGATTTTTAATACAAGTTATAGTGAATTTCAAAGTAAATAATAAATTACTTTGAAAAACATATGTTATAAAACAATTTCTATTAATCATGAGAAAATTATACATATATTTATACAAATGTTTAATTATTTTTGTTAAAAGTTCAAATATTATTTCCAGAATATATTTATAATATTCGATAAATAAATGAAATATCACAGACGAGTTTACAATATAGAGAAACATTGAAAATGAGAATATATGAAAAACAATATACCATATACAACATAAAAAAAATATTATAGTCAGGATTTCCAGAATTAATTATTGCCATTAAATGCTGCAAAAACAAATAAAGATTAACAATGTGTGTCTTCTTTTTATAAATTTATCACCTCTACTTTTCATAAATGGAGTAGCAAGTTGTAGTATTAATTTATTTCAGTAGGTACTGATAACTCATGTGAAACAGTACTAAAATATTGAATTCAATTGCTAGTATAGGTTTTAATCACTAGATGCAGTATTTCATATCAGTAATTAATTTATATGATAATGATGATTAATATGAGTGATTAATTCCTGAGAAAGACTTCGCATCAATAACTAGGACTCTACAGTACATCAGTGATTATCACTGTTGTCATTATCATTTAATTATTTTATTTTACGTCATCGGTACTTATGTAATTTAAATATTCAAAATCATTAAGCATCAATAATAAAATTACTGAGATACAGTAATTTATTACTAGTCAGTCAATAATATTTTTTTATAAGGGCCCATCACGTACGAAGAAAAGTAAGAATTAATTTCGGTGCTTTGAAGTGAAAGTAAATTAACATTTTACTTAAAAGGCATACATTTTAATATTAGTGCTGGGATATTTTAAAGAGTTTCAAATCAAGAATGTTGCGACATGCTTCCCCGATTAATAGTGAACCGTATCGTTTACATCGATCATATTATATCAAGATCTCTTGTCCTATGTTCAGGCGCTCTGGCAATGCCTCGATGGGCGAGCGTGAGTTCCCTAAACTCGTCGTCGTCGTCGCGCAGCGGGCGAGACGCGGTCGGCTCGACTTTAGAACCGTCGTTACTTACGACGTGCGTGGGGTCCATGCCGGAGTTGATCGATTTGATTTCCAAAGTAGCGCACACCGGACGTTGCCCCATCCCTCTGACAACAAGGGCGTTGCACGCCCTGTTTTACTACATGAGGTGTTCGCAGGTACGGAATTTGCCGTGATATTCAATGCGTCTTCTTCGGGAAAACCACGATACCATTCATCTTTCAATGAAGTTGATCGATCACTTTGCTGTTACGTTCTTCGACTTTCTTTTCGTAGACGACGCATGTCTTAGCTTTTTCGTTTGCTCTTCAATTCTCTCAAAAAGTTATCATATCACATCTATTATCGTATCACATAAATCTCTTCTCATCTTTAGTTGGTTAACATTTATTTATTTAGTTATTGCTACATTATACCAATCTGCATGTGTTACAGCGTTATTTTAATTTAAAATACATGTATTGTTTAAGCTGGAGCACGGTGAACGTGGCTCCGGAATACAGGAATTGGCGTACGAGCGAGCTTACGTGGTGCTCCCACCGTTAGTGGAATGGCTACGGGTAGCCGCAGCACACACCGAGCACAGACACGGCCTCGTCATCGACCAAGATGATATTAATCAGGCTGCCCGATTACTTTTGCCCGGCGTAGACTGTCCTGTTCGTCCAATAAGGTGAGTCCGTACGAGAGAAATTTTCCTGCTAAACACCTTGCCGGTTTGAACAAAACTATAGCTATGACGGATATGGACAGAATATCAGTTGTTTTAATTCCTTGATCTTTTAAAATGCGTCTTCTGAGAAACAAATTTTCATATTGGATGCGGGACGCGTTACGAAATTCGTAAGAGGAAAATTGTCGCCATCGTTGATCATCTGACTGCGTATGCTATATAACTGCAGCTAAATCGAATCATTTCTCTGTGAAACGAACGAAAAATATTTCATCGTCATTTGTTAAGTAAGCGCAGCGTGATCTTTTTCGGTAAAATCAATGAATTCGTTTCGTCAAGTTAAATTAGCTCGGAATACAAATTGATTTAATCATGAGTAATTACAGTTACTAAGATAACATCTACAAAAAGGGCTTGTTCTTTGAATAGATTCACAATTAATTTCCATATAATTTCTCAAACAGCACAAATGTCTGAAATATATCTTAGAGACATCTCGAAACAAATAAGATATCTTTCAAGTCTCTAAGATATTTTTTAGATACTTATGTTGCATAGGATCTTTGCTGTACGAGTAAATAAATCCGCTTCATTGTAACCCTCGATTTTGTTCAACAAGCTGTAGAGAGATTCGCTGAACCAATCAGCCCGTTGTTTCTCGCGCGTTCATCGAGACCACAAAAAATTATATCGGTTGAAGCAAGTTACATTACTGTTGCGTTCGCTTCAATTGTTCTTCCCGTCCTGCTGAGATTTCTCAAAGCCCATATCAGACCAGGTGTCGGGAGTGAAGATTGCGGGGATTGAAGATTGGAACTCGACGATGCAGCATAGAATGGGCGAAGATCGAAATCAGTTGATTTTTATCTCCCTCGATCTTCAATCTCCGATCTGACATTCGTCGGCCGCGAAACGCTATTAAAATTCACTGGGTCCGCAGCTCCGAGGAGGTCGCGATATGTTCCAAGCACATCGACGACGCCGAGTACGTGCGCTTGCTGACGTTAGACATGGCCTTCAAGATGCTGATCAGCGGCCGGGCGGATCTGATAGCCCAGGCGATGCCGTTGCTGCCGTCGGCATCGAAGATCAACACAGTGAACGACGCCGGCTTCACAGCCCTGATGTTGGCGTGCATCAACGGCGACGAGTCGGCCGTGATGGCTCTCCTGGACGCCGGGGCGGACTTGAACGTGGAGAGCCCGTCGACGAGCGGCCAATCGTCCGGCACGCCTTCGAAGATCCCGGCGTCCAACATGCCGAACAACGTCCGAAGTTCGTCGATCAATCAGTCGGCGATGATGACGCCCGTGAAAGCAGCGCCGAGCGCGAATCTGCCATCCGGCAGCCCAGGCGGCCCCCCCGCCGCTCCGGGCATCTGCCACACGCAGACCGGCTTCAACGCGGAGACGCAACACTGGACCGCGCTGACCTACGCGGCTCTGTCGGGCCACTGCAACGTCGCCAGAATATTACTCGAGCGAGGGGCCGCCGTGGAAGGCGGTGCGAAGCTTAGCGAGGACAAGTGCACGGTGACACCGCTGCAAGCGGCCGCTGCGTCAGGCAACAACGAAATGCTGGCCTTGCTATTGGCGCACGGCGCCCAACCGTTCCTCTCCACCCTCATCAAGGACTCCTTCTCCTACTCGGGCTCGGCGCAACGCGGTTGTTACAGGTTAGTCACATCGGAGTTCGATTTCGCCATTGTTAAGGTCTCTGCGGGAGAAATGGCGAAGAAATACGACGTTTAGTCACGTTGCGTAACTGAGGGAGGAACGACCGTTCTCAGGAGTCCCGAGCAGAACTCAACTCAACGAGAAGAATCGCTTTGCTTAGTCGTAGACTCTTTTCATTTCCGGCTATTCTGTTTAATAATTATTACATTTTACTCGCTTCAATTACCAGCGCGATCTCGGTGGCGACAGCTCACGGGCAGAGAAGCTGTCTTCATCAGCTGCTGTCGCATCCGCTCAATTTCACAGCTAAGCGAGGGGAAAAAGAGATACTGTCCTTGGAGGAGATACTGGCGGAAGGTAACGCCGGTGCTAATTCTTCTCAACAGCAGACCGCCGAAGGGCGAGGAGATCGCAGGGAAGGCAAAGAACCGGTGTTTAATAAGGTGCAAACGAAGGCGCTGCAGGAAGCGATGTATCACAGTGCGGAAAGTAATCATTTAGGTGAGGAAGCTATTCTCATGTGAATGTTATCGCGTCTCGCACGCACGCAAATACCGGTATTATACGGAAATTTTCTAATATTCATATTTGAACAAATCAGTTCTTTTTCGATGATTGCGTGCCGAAATTTTCCGATATTAAAACTGTATTTTTTTTTTAATATCGGCTTCAGTTCTTAACTTTAAACTAAATCGTTTGTGGAATTTCGCGCGTCTTCAGATTGCTTTTGATACTGCTGTACACTTACGTGAGATACATGTTGATGTCTCGCAGATATCACGATGGAACTTCGTGGCTTGAAAGTGGGCTGGACACTGCATTGTTGGATGCACAGTCTTGCGACAGCTCACGAGATGAGACTGGACTCGGTTATAGATCAGCTACTTCAAGATTTCCTTCAAGTCTGTCCGGATGACTATTCCACGCAGTTCGTGCAAGAGTGCCTGCCGCTTTTATTCAATATTTTCAGATATAACAAGGTAAATTACACGATTAAGATAGTCGATTATTGATCGATGCAATTATTGATTGCATGATGTACAGGGATTGAAAGTTACGTTCGAGGTAATTGTTACCATGTAAGTGACGCACGTTACTTGTAACACAATTATTTTCCTTCAGTCAACGACTTGGCAGTTATTTTTCTCCAGTCTTAGTAACGACAAAGAAATTGCATTTTTTGAGTAATGAAAATATAATCGTTATTTTGTATGTATAAAATATAGATGCAGTTGGTTCCAAAATGATTCGAACATTTCTTCCTCAGTACAATTTGCAACCCAGCCGATAGTCCAATCAGAGAATTTTACTTCTGGGAATCTATCAAGAAAATACTCTCGTGGAACCATCGGTTGCGTTTCAAACTACATCGAGAAAAATAGTGTTCAAATCATTCTGAAACATTGAATGAACATAGGTGAGCAGAAGCAACGCAACGGTAAAAATAAGGTTAACTTTTACCAAATTCTAATATAATCAGACAATTTAAGATGACTTTTTCACCAATCCCGGTTCGGTCAATCGACGATTAACCAAACCGAGATTGATGATTGATGAGTCACTCTTAAAATTTCTATCAATCTCAAATATTACCTGAACTATCTTCTTAACGCAGATAGAAATGATAAACTTTTGATTCTTGTTGAACGACAAATCATAGGACTAGAAGTTGATGTTAGTTCTTATTATTATTGTTCATCGATTAGTTTAATCTGAGTTTGGTTGAAGTCATCCTACGTCTCCAAAACTCGGTGAAATAAATAATGGAAATTTTTATTATCCATTATTGTTCGAGGAACGGTAACGAATTATATGTTTCAAAATTAGTATAATAACGGTAATAGTATATAAAACGAGTTACTTGAAAAAAAATAACTCTCCCAACCTTAATATACGATATAAACTTTTCCACGAGAAAGTATGCAGCCTTAATTCATACCGGTAACTCGACATGCTGCCGTGTACTTTCTTGTGGAAAAACCGTGTGATAAAACATCGTAGTTTATCCGTTAGTGCAACACAAGATTGTCGTTTGTATGATTTTTTTTCGCAGAAGGAAGGCACCACACTCTTGCTGGCCGATATCTTTTGCACGTGTTTCGGTTGGGAGCCGATCAAACCGATCAGAGACGCTACGCTATCGAGCGGATCAAGAATCGACCCGAAATTCGTGAATAATCCCGAACTGAGCGACGTGCAGTTTCGAGTGGAAGGTCGCGTTTTTTACGGTCACAAGATTGTACTGGTTACATCCTCGCCGAGATTCAGGAACATGTTAAGCTCCAAATTATGCGAAGGCAATCCTCCCATTGTGCAGATCAATGACATAAGATATCATATATTCCAGGTATATAATCGCCAGCACGTTATCATTAGTATATTATATATATATATATATATATATATATGTGTGTGTGTGTGTGTGTGTGTGTGTGTGTGTATATATATATATATATATATATAGTATATATATATATATACACACACATATATATATATATATGTTAACACAGATAGTAGGGAAACCCGAGGCATAATTGGAACGCTAAGGTTTAAACAAGTTTTAAATGTAATAAAAAATAAATAAATCAACTTGGTTTTACATCGAAATATTCTTTGAATTATCTACTATAAGAAAAACGCAAGTTTTATAGCGAAAGAATAGTTTAAAAGGGCGAAACTATTATACTGAAAACGTGCTTCATTATGCTTCTTATTTTCTTCTTAGGATTACTGTTTTCCTTCGAAAGCTTTGACATTAGATTTTCGAATCCCGAAGATTCAAGGCTTCGGTGTTCATTGTTCGAATTTCGAATACATCGTTGGTTGAATTTCAGATGGTCATGGAATTTCTTTATCACGGCGGCTGCGCCACTCTGGAAGTCAATCAAAGCGATGTCCTGGAATTAATGGCAGCGGCCAATTTTTTCCAGCTGGATGGCTTGCTCAGATATTGCGAAGCGCAATGTTCCACAATGATGGATCTCGATAATATCGTTTCCATGTATATTCACGCGAAGGTATATCTTTACAGTCAGGTATTCTCGTAAGATCTAATCAGTGAGTACGCGAAATGTATCATTCTCGACGGAGTCGTATATCGTTTTCTGTTTGTTCAAATTGCAGGTGTATAACGCAGCGCAGCTTTTGGAATACTGTCAAGGATTTCTGTTGCAAAACATGGTGGCTCTTCTCACGTATGACGATTCAGTCAAACGTTTACTGTTCGCAAAGAAGTTACCGAATCACGACGTTCTTGCGGGTCTGCTCCTCACTCTACAATCACGAATAAAAGCCAGGCGATCTCAGCAACAAAACAAGATAAAAGCATAGATTCACTACGTGCAAAGTTCTGCCTTCTACACAATATGTTTATTCTAAGAATTTTCGCGTAAGCCTATTGTTGTACCATGATAATTTTAAACCTACGTAGTATTCCCGAGTCGTCAGGAGAACAAATTTATATTTGTACATTGTACATGTTTAACTCATTTCGGAGCGGGCCGCAAAAATTGAGTTCCATGAGATCCAAGTACTGTTTTAGGGACCGAGGAAACTCAAGAAATTTAAAATCAAAATTTTCCGACCAATTGTTTGCCACGAAAAATAATCGGAATATTCACCTTGAATGACACCTGGTGTACATCTGGTGAATCATATCACAACCGGAATCGTCATTTTCGATAATTTGAACTTTTCGGCAACAATATCTCATCATTGTTTTTCCAATGTTTTTATTTTTCGCTATTTTTAATTAATTAAAAATGTATGCTTTGCAAAATTATTTTCCACCCCACCAATCACTGGAAGGGTGTTTGATGATAATCAAGTAAAATTATGTTCTGAAAGTCTAAACCATATTTTTCAGTAACAAAATCTAGGCCAGAATCTACCTTTATCACAGATAGAAAAATGTTTGAAGATAAATAAATTTGCTGTTCCTGTACAGGAACAGAGAAACGAAATGGGTTAAAAGGTTCAGACATATTATAAAATATAGACGTGTTATAAAGAATACAAGTTTATAAGCGAATAGGGGACAAAAATTATTTAGGCTCACGAAAATCACTGCCCATTATAAAATAATCTATGTAAATAGGAGCGTATCGTTGATATAAATCTGAAAAAATGTTCTATAATCATTAATTTCGCACACATACACATTCGTCGTAGATATCGATCTTTTTTTCCGTTATTAAATCAATATACTCCGATGACATAGGTCTGAACACATATTCATATGTATATATTCCACTACAAAGATAAGTTTTCTTTTTACTCTATGTACAAACTGTGTAACAAAAAGTTCGTTATTACATATAAAAATAACAAAATGTTCAAGTTGCAATGTTTACGTTAATTGTTAACAGTACATGAATCGTTTATTACGTTGAAACATCTAGTGTTCTAAAATATTTTATATTTTAATGACATTTAACGTGTATCTCTATTAGCAATTATGATTCTTATCAGTTTTAAAATAAATGATTTGTAGCGTGAAAATTGTACTATAAAAGGCGTTATTGACACTGTTTTTTTTTCTACTAGCATATTATTGAGGCTCGATAAAAATAGGTATCCCCAATTTTGTCATACATTCTTCATTATATACTTTTCGATGCATTTTTATATTAATAATATCATACGTACGGGATATAAAAAAATTTTATTTGGAAAGAAAGAACAGAACATAATTTAATGTCTAATATTAATTTAGCACATATAAATCTCTCAACAACAGATATATAATAAAGCTATTATGATTGACATCAAGTGTAGGTATTGATATCAATGCCATCGTATTATTTATTAAAGTGATGTTAATAATTAGTTGTTGTATATACAATATTCAGGTTATAACCTTAATAATTATATTGGATTTTTAGCATCCGGAATGCCTAATAATCATATAAGAATCGAATATCTGCGAGAAAATGGTTGTCTCAATCGGGCAAATTGCCCCCTCCATTTCATATTTATCAATATATAACTTTAATAGGCGTCGCCTCTTTGATTTTATGATTATGAGGAAGCATTGATTAATTAAACGTGCGACATAATATCTTAAATCTTAAAGAAAAGATCCAGACATTAAACCAATTGTTACTTCATATCGATGCGATGTATTCAAATAATAGCGGCTGTCTCGTGTAATTATTTAAATACTTAAAAAAAATGGATAATACAAAAAACGAGATATCACTCGCATTTTCAATACTCGAGAGAAAATTCCGCGTGTTACGTCTAGCTTTCTTATTATACTTATTCAATGTTCGTGAAGCCAACGCACGTTCATAACGCATGCACGTATAAACACAGTAAATATATAACGCGTTAATCGATAGCATTCATTTATAGCGGACTTGTATGGCGAATCGATAGTTCGAAACGTTCTTTATGCCTTAAAACATGATGATGATGATGATGATGATTTAAAATCACCGTAGGTTAGCGTTTATATAATTTCGTGTGATAAGCATCAATATGATCTTCAAGAAGTCATTATCTGCGAGGAATTGATTAGTGTCTGAATATGCTGGTAATTTTCAATAAAATTGGGATTATATTTATTATTCAAATAGGGATGTACAACGATAAAAATATCCTCTTTAATGTGTATAAAGAAATATATATATAATAGACGTAAAATTATAATTTGGAAAATGCACAACAATAAGATTTGTATGCACTTTCTATATAAATTTATCGTGATACATGCCACACTAGATACTCTTTCAAGGAATTATATGTGGCCAGTGATTGTTGGCATATAATCTACAACAGCAGCGATAAGCTTGTAACATTTCAATCGCGCGGCTACTTTATCATATCTTTCTGCTGATAAATTCATTGGTAAATCCTTCCTTTTTTCACAGTTATTTTCTTCACATGATATTAGGCGGGATTACGTAGACATTGACTTAAAATATGTCAAATTAACCACTTAGAGTGGCACGCGTGCAATAGTGCGCGTACTATTGTGCACTCTTGCGTCAGAACGAACTCGTTTCATCGATAAAAATTTATTATTGTATTTCAAAAGTCGTTAATAAATTTTTAGTGAAGAAATCAGGCAGTCTTTCTGACGCAATAGCGCACGCGCGCCACTTACGGGGCGGACACTAGAAGGCAGAATAATAATGTGTTTAAAACATTTGAAGCCTATGACAGTAACAGTTTCTTTTCATGCAAATTATTAACATAAAACTTATGAAAAATTGGGAATAGAATTCGCGTAGTGTCCTTGAAATACAAAATTATCTGAAAGAAGTATCATGATATTACGAGACATATTAAGTGTGATTTGGCAAGAGTATTACTAAGCCGATATTAACGTTCCCATATTTCACTTCAACAATCAGTAATGATCAGAATTCTGCTAGGTTGCGAAAAATGTGGAATAAAAAAGCCTATAAAAATTCATATTATATATATAATATATATATATATATGAAATTATATATATATATATTTTTTTTTTTTTAAATACTGTCTTTATAAAATCTAGAAATAGCTAACATCTCTGTGCGCGACAGATAGTTCATTCGTAAGCGCGCAGATTATAAAACAAGTCTCTATACTCTCCTCGTGTTACATCACTAATATACAGAGAGAAATGGGCGAAACGAGATTAATTTAGAGGAGGTTATTCAAACAATACGTGAAACAGATTGAGACAACCCTTTTCGTTTTACCTTCTCGCAAGAACCATGAAGGCTAGGTGCGCTAACTTAATTTAGTGACTAGAATAACAATTAATACAATGACAACTATAATCGCGAGTAACATCAAGATATAGACTTTTCGACGAAATTTACTTTGGTAATTACTTCCCTTCGCCAGTTCCTGCGCTCCCAGCTCGACATTGCCGTGCATGTTTTCTATATGGTTGTCGATTGTATCTACAAGAGGATCATTAGTTTCAATAAACCGAGTGCATGTTGTAACGAGACGAATATTGACAAGACCGATAAGGTATCCCTTTGTATTTCTTGTATCTTTTGTCTCTGTGTCAGGAAGACACTCGCGAAATAATGAATCAATATTATACAAGGCGTTTATTTATGTGAGGAATTCAAATTATAATATACTAGTTGTGGGATAACATTTATGTACGAATTTCGTGTGAAACAGTATCGTGCTAAAATTACATTAAGCAGAAAGATATTTACCAATAGTATCACCCTGCTGATGCACCAATGCTGCGAGCTCACGCATAATTTGATTTACATCCAAAATATCCCCCTCGATTCGCCTTATTCTATCTTCTCTCTCCAATAGCAGACCTTGTTGAAATTCAAGCGTCCTGTTCACGTACAATACACATTATCGATCGTATGTTATTTGCAATACCCAACTGTGTGTAGACACTTTGCGTCAAAATTTGTCGAGACTAACTTATTGTACACACAAGTGCATTTTATAACTACTCTATGTTAATATAGTATAGTTATGTATAATCCTACTCATGTTTTATATTGATGGTACACATATTTAATCTTTCCATTGGCATTCCAAATCGTCTATTGTGATATGTTGTAAAAGCTTTGTTTCCTATTTTTATCCAAAAAAATCGAACTTTCTCTGTTAACTAGTTAAACTTTTCTTATGTTTATCCACCTTGTCTTTACAATATTGTTCAATATATAACTACTAAAAATTACAACTAATTAGATAATTTAAATTTTCTGTATTCCTCGTGAGCATAGAAACGACTTATTGTTTTGTACGAAATAAGAAATATATCTCCCGAACCTTTGTGTGGTTTTACGTTGCTGCTCCTGTGCTTGAAGCAGGCTCTGTGTCTCATCAGCGTCCTCCCCGTCTATTGTATTTTCTATATTAGTTATAGTTAAAATATGTCTCTTCATTTTTTCCACAATTGACTGAAAAAGATATTTCAATATCAATGTCTGATAAAACAGATAATGTCTACCATATCGTTCCCACATCAAAGATACATCTTGTTTGCTGTATGCACGACATACCTTCTGCATATAGGAATATCTCTGTAATGCATCTTTAAAGTCTGTTGTAAGTTTCTCAATTTGTAACTTCTGCTGCTTATCCCCATGTCTCATCAATACTGTCAATCTAGCTATGTCCTTGCTTGTCTGCGTGACCACCTGGTTGGTACTTAATTGTGTTACATGTCTGAATAACACAGATGCATGTGTGTGTCAGTCAATATTTAAATCACAGGTATTTTCTTATCGTATATTTAATATGTACATTTGTATCCTCTATTATATTTCTGACAGCACTCACACTTTGTCTCTTAAGCCCTGATTATCCTTGCTAGTTCCGATGTTTTTGTAAGCCTTTTCCAAGGTCCTCCAACTCGTGTTAATCGTATATATGTTAGTGGTAATATTTTCACTGAGACTATAAAGTTCGGTAGGACTAAATCCTATATCAGGTACATCCACTCGGTGATCCGTAGATCCATAGGTTTGAGAGCTATGAGCCATCCTGAGGGACAAAAGAAATATAGATAATAATTGCAACTTACTTCGACAAACCTCTAGCTATGTCCTTGCCTCTTCCTTAGAGGAATCGATACCAATTCTAAAGTCTGCAACGTTCTCTGACTACAATTAAATATTACGTGAAATATTGCACATTAGCGCACAATATATTTCCAGTAGCGTACAATAAAAATAATTATAAAAGAAAAAATAGAAAATCATGAAATATATCAACCTCCCTACTTATGCATTCCGAATGTCCGATATTGTATTTGTTGACAGTATTTATAACAAACGCGTTACGCTACAGCGACTGTATCAGACAAATGGGAACAATGGAAATTTGTCGTCGTCGTCGTCGCAAAGTCGTCGCGATCTTCACGAAGCGACAAACGTTTGGAACGCTCGCATAGGTCTTTCGCATAAAAACAACGTGATCGCGACGTTGAGCTGCGCTCTGTTGTGCACAATGACACACACACGAGAGTTATTAACAGTGATTGCGAGAGACGAAGACAGGATGTTTGAGGGTTAAATTGGCGGAAGATCAAAGGCCGAGACGCGCAGCGGCGGCGACGACGACGACGTCATAACGGGGCGCGTCTCTCACCAACCTAAGTGCGTGGTTTATCACAAATGTCCTTAATATCTAAATATAAATCGCCTCGTAGAATCACATTTAAAAACGCGCAAAGATGTTCTACCACCCTGAGTCCTACGGAGACTGACTGACTGACAGTTGCCCGAGCGATCTAACGCACCGTCTCTGCGTGTGACAACAGACCCTTTGTACTCTTGTCCGTGTACGCGAACAGAAATCTAATTTACCGACGTGACCGCCTTTTTCTCAGCGTTTTAACTATGCACCGTATCCGGAGACAAAGGCGTGCCCGAAATGATAACACGGGAGACACACACGGAGAGCGATGATCAGCACAGGGCGAATTTTTCGGCCTTTCCTCCGCGCCCGATTCGCCCGTATTATTTACGCGAGACGAGAGATCGATTTAATTCGATTTCTGTCCTATGGAAATTGGCAGCCACCACTGGAGTCGAATTGACGTTCCCGTGCACTCGCAGACTACCGTCGTCGTGACGCTACGTTAACGAGACACCCGCGATTATTCCGGATAATCGTCTCCGTCGCGGATACGAGCGCGTTGATATTTTTATCTCCAAGCGATATTCGGGCTAAAACACGCGCGAGTATCGCGGCCGAGGCGACTTTTTGCTAACTCACGCGGAAACGTCTAACGCACCGTCCGGTGGGTATCATCGACTGAGGGGCTCAAAATGGTAACTGAACCCTTGACGGGATGTCGACGACTTATCGCCGTTTTCTCGCAGGAAACACCGTCGAAACGGCCGAATAATCCCGGCGATGGGAGGAGATTTTTTTTCGAGAGGATGGCGCGGTCGTCGGAGCGTCGAGTCGCCGAGCGGCGTGACGGTAGTCGCGCACCGGACGCTGGCTTGACGAGACGTCCACCAGCAGTCGGAAGTTTCCGAGCACGACCGACAGATTGCGAAAGCAACTTCAGAAACAACAACCGTCGGCCGTAAGTAAACGCTATTGTGATCGCTCCTGGCTTTGCGCGGCGAATTAACGGGCGTGAAGTGGCGTGGGTGACATGTAACGCGCACCGAACGATAGTCCGGGTTGTCCGGGTGCCTCGTGCCGCGCTGAGAAAACCGAGCTGGGGTCGCGGAGAATTTTCTAGAGGGTCCCTCCTCGCGGCCCACGTAGGTCGTGCGTGTGTCATGTCGTCGGGTGTAAAGCGACGGTGACTGCTACGGTGATCACGACGACGACGACACATCGTGGCCTCCGCCCCGTGTTCCCCGGAATTTCCGTTTCCGGTGAATCTTCGGAACGTTCGATTTTTCCTCGCTTTCGCCGACGAGCGAGCGAGCCGCACGAAGCGTCTCGAAATTCATTGTCGTCCACGCAACTCCCACGTTTGACACTTTTTAAAGCTAACTCATCGCCGCGGGGAGAGAGTTGTCGATGGGATCTTCGCGCATTAAAGAAATTGAGTGTGCGTGTAAGAAAGTGAGAGAGTCGCATGGGAAATCGGGCGTTCCTTCGTCGCTCTGGATTTTCCATGGCGAACGAAAAGTTCTTCCCCCGGAGTCCCCCGTGCCCTCTCTCGCTTCCACGAATTCCGGAATTAGTACGTGCCTCTGACGCTTCTTCGCGGTCAAGAGAGAGAGAGAGAGAGAGGTTCACGAGGTAGCCCGGGGGATGCTCTTTCTTTCTCTCATCGGCAATGTGCGGTGCTTCATACTCTAGAAGATAGTCCACGTCGTCTCCCGTTAGTCTCTCTCTCTTTCTCCCTCCCTCCCTCTCTGTCGTGCGCGCGCGCGCTCTCGCATGTGTCGCAACGAGCTTCACGCGTGATCACCGTCCGAGTCATATCATGGCCTCCTAGAATCCACGAGCCGAGGAGGCCGCACACAACGGATTGCGTGCGATTCTCGCCTCCCTAACGTGTACGTCCGTTCTCGTCCTGCGTTCGTTCATTCGCCGACGCATCGTCTTCGTCTTTTGACCCTGGAACACGGAAAATTGCCGAGCGTAATTTCGAGCGTCGACGACGACCGACGTCCCGAAAGGTTCTTTAACCGGTTTAAATCGAGAGGTGCTTTAAACGTTTGAATTTTTCTCTCGCGAGTCACCTCTCTCCTGTTGCGTTGTCCGTCTCGTGTTTAATTCGCTGCCAGTAGTTGTTGACAGACAATTTTACGCGGAATATTCTCCGCGGATTGTAAGGTTATGCACGTGTATGTACGCGTTCTGAATCATCGACGTGCCCGATTTTTTTTTTCACAGCAGCGACGCAATTTTCGTCTCTCGATATTCCGGGGTCAAGCTCCGCCTGGCGAGTAGAAATTAACTTTGCATGCTGCGTAGATCTAGTCCACCCCGTTCTCGCGTTTTATATACACGTTTGTTTTCTCGTGTCGATAATGATCATCTAATTCGACGATCAATTTGATATTTTTCGATTGAACGTCAAATTGCTCAGAGTCACATTCGTCCGAAAAATCATTCCTATTTCCTGGACTTATTTATTTATATTTAGGTTTGGCAAATTTTTGTTGCTGTTTGTAGTTCTCGTTATTCGGCTGTCAGTAAAGTCAGAAACTAAAAATCGACTCTCGTCGGGGGGG